CATGGGGGGGGGGGTCGACGGGGGCGGCCAGGCCCTTATCTGCCCAGGGCGTGCCGAGCCCCAGGATTCGCACCAGCGCTGCCCACGTCGTGTTGTAGACGAGGTTGCTAGCGTCGGTTCCAAGGTCCACGTCGTAGCAAAACCCCAAGTGGCTCCATGCCTTGCGGTCGAACAGGCCCGGTTCCCTCGGGGCGTCGGCAATGGGGCACTGGTGGGGGTGCAGACCAGAGACTGTGTATAGGACTACCCCCAGGGCGGGGTCCTCGATAAGCCTGAGTAGGCTATTCTGCATGGCACTGCCGAGGGCGCCCCAGCAGAGCGCGGGGTATAATGGGGCAGCGATCTTGTCAGCGAAGTTCTTCTCCATTGAGGTCCGAGCTTTGTTTATGGCGCTGTCAATCCTCTTGATTGCGTCGTCGCCTGCGTGCGAGAGGGTAGCTGACTCAGAGATCATTTTTTTATTCCGGCCGGTAACGCTCGTTACCCGGGGGGGGGGGGTCGTGCCCCCCGGGTAACGGTAACGCTTGGGCTGGGCGGGGTATGGCGAAGCAGGGGCGCTCTGCGATCGCCATAGTATGCGCGCGAGCAGCACTCTCTGCCTGAGAGCACCACAGTGGCTTGCGATTCGAGTACAAGCGCAAAGCCCGCCGCGTGGTCCCGGCACCACGCCCGCGCCCGCGCGCGCGACGACGATGATCGACGAGCGACGAGCGACGAGGTCGACGACGACGACGACGACGTTTGCCGCCTGTTTCGGCCTCCGGAGGCCGTTTTCGGGCGCCGTCGACGACGACGACGACGACGACGACGACGACGACGACGACGACGACGACGACGACGATTCGAGTACAAGCGCAAAGCCCGCAAGCACCAGCATCGCGCATGCGAGCGCCGCAATGGCCTGCGAGCGCCCACAGTGCGCCTGCGACCACCACACCACAGTGCGCATGCCTTCGGGCACCAGCATGTTGAAGGGGAAGACCGAGACCCCCCCCGCGTACGAGCGTTACCGTTACGGGGGGGGGGGGGAGAGGCCCGGGTAACGAGCGTTACCCCCCAGAGGATAAAAAAACAATCTCTCAGGGGCCCAGGCTGCTAGACCAGAGATGGGGTCGAAGCCTGTGTCGATCTCTAATACCTTGCGCCGTCCGCTTTTGTTGGGCTCCAGGAGCCGTGCCCACCGCTTCGCCGGGCGCCCGTGCTCAGAGAGCTCGCGCAGTCTTGACCAGGGGGCTGTTGCGAACATCCTCCCGTCGCCAATGACCACGACGTTACGCGTCGCCCTAGTGATGGCGACGTTCACCCTGTTGGCGTTGTCCATGGGTGCCCCAGTCGTGTCGCCCGTTGGATCTGGTCCTTAGGAAGATGACGATGTCTGCTTCTCCGCCTAGGCTGGAGCCGATGGTGGAGAGGACGAGCCTGCCGCTTGCCAAATGTTCGGCTGCGAATTGCCGTGCGCCAGGGAAATCCAGGGAGACGCCGGTGCGCCATGAGTCCGGTTGGTCAAAAACGCTGGCGTAATCGCTCGGATCCACTGACCGCCTGGACTCGTCCGCTGCAGAAAAGCCCCGGCCTTTGCCCCCTTCGATCTTCCCCTTCCCCTTGCTACGCCCCTTCGACTGCCGAAGGGTGCCGCTGATGCTTCTGGAGCTCTGGGGCCACCCGTTTTCCAGGATGGCATATAGGAGCTGATAGCCGATGACTACCCGGACTGTGACGCCTTCCTTCACTGCGGGAATTAAGGCGCTGATGATGTCCACTGCCTGGGCAGCTTCCCAGAGGTTGGCATATCCTGCGTGTAACTTTGACGTAACCCCATGCGACGGGTTATCAACCCGGAGAAATCGGTGTCGCTCTTCAAAGGGTTGCCTGCCAGGGCTCCATGTTCCTCAGTGCCAAACGCAGGTCGTCGATGCCTGCCTTGGCAGCGCTGGCCAGCCTCGCCAGCTCGTCCTCGTCCCAGGGTCTGATCGGCCGCCAGGGGAATCCCGGGACGAGTGGTCTCTGGGCGAATGGATCGTTGAGCCCAGACCGCATGGTGCTGTTCTAGAAGACCCAGTTGGGCTACGCCAGAATCTGAGGGTGCATGCGGTAGCACACGCTTAGCTGCACGACTGCGGTCGCGTGGTCTCTCAGCGCGTGGTGGAGCCGGTCGAATATAGACAGGCACAGACCCCGGTCTGCCGCCATCCTGGAGATGACTGTAGGTGGGAGCTGCTTGGGGTCGCCAACGAAAACCAGGTGCCGTCCTGAGCGGATAACGCTGTCGAGAGACATCGTGGCCATTAGCTCGTGTGCCTGACCCGCTTCGTCGATGATGAATAAGGCGATGGCAACCGCGTTCTTCAGCGCTTCGGCTGACTCGTGCGTGGCGATAATAGTCTTGGCCTCCTTGAGGAGGTTGGTGTGGAATCCTGGGAAATCTTTGGACGGCGCGCCACACTCGTAAGGGAAATTGCCTGTGGCCTTCTGCTAGAGCCCCCCTGGTGTGAGGCTGGTGGGAATTCGCGAAGTGTCAACAATTTATACAAACCGCGTCTTCTAGAACACACATCCACAATCCAATACGTCACTGTTCGGTGACGACGCTGACAAACCTGCTGGTATTCTAAGGCCAACCCCGCTCTCCGAACGCTTTCCCGCATTCCCCCCCGAAGCGTCCTAGACATCCCGATGCTCTTTGATAATTCGGGGATGGCTGAGGAAGACCAACAAGGCCGCCAAGATGACCCAACATAGCTTCAAGAGGCACCCAACCGATCCCAAAAGTGCAGAATGGATCCCAAGAGGTCTCCAAGAGGCCCCAATCCACTCCAGTACGACGCAATCCAGAAGACCCTCGAGAAGCCAAGCGCATCGCTTTGTACAGCAGCATCTGCTAAATTTGGACTTCTGGTTATTAGCGTGGCGTGGTGCCTCCGCATCCTTCCTTCTTCCTGCCTCGCTCCCCAATCAGACTCACTCACGCTCAGACTCACTGACCCTCAGGCTGCATCATACTCCGACTCTCTTATCTACAAACTAGTTTGCACGTAGGTCCACTCATATCCAGTTTGAGTTACACGCATATCCATACACACAGACCGCTCACAAGCTTATCATACACACTCATACTCACACAAACCCAACCCAATTCAGAGTCAGATCCACCCGCACGCAATCACTCATACTCAGGCCCACTCGTACCCAGAACCCGCATACACATATTACTTCACAGTCAGAGTTTCATGATCGCCGCGATGTAGCAGGCATTTGGGTTTGGACCATCCAAATGGGGGCCGCCAGTGACAGTGCTTCATATTTTTTAACTGTCTCAAGCAAGCGCCTGTTTGGCGCGACCGATTACCCCTTCTCGGAACCACATGGACGCCGCGATGCCGGAGGCGTGGCACGTGGACTGCCCAAGGTGGAGCCACCAGGGAGTTTTACACAGGCCCGTTCGCGGCAATTTGCGGGGATGTCTGAGCCGACTCGCCGATTTGATGCCACAGGCTCGTCTCTTGCCAGAGTCGCACGACGTCGCAAGCGTGGCATTTGGACCACCCAAGGGGGAGCCGCTAAGGGGGTGTTACCCAGGCCCGTTCGCGGCCAGAGTGTGGGGATGTCTCGGGCGGAGCGCCTGTTTGGCGCCACTGACTTCGCTCCTTGCGGAGCCACGTAATCACCACGAGGCAGTTGGCGTGGCATTTTGACAACCCAATGGGGTGTCGCCAAGGAGTCTTACATGGACCCGTTCGCGGCCGGATTGTGGGGTGTTTCCTGCGAAGCGCCTGTTTCGGCGCCACCAGCTACTCTCCTCTCAAAGCCACATGATCACTGCGATGTAGCACGCGCGGCATTGCGGACATCCCAATCCGGGACTGGCTGGCATGGAGTGTTGCACGGGCCCATTCGCGGCCAGATTGCAAGGACGTTTGAAGCGAAACGTCTGTTGTGGCGCCTCTGGCTCCTCCTTTTTCAGAGCCGCATCATGTGCGTAATGTTGTACGCATGGCAATTAGACCACCCAATGGGAAGTCGCCCAGGGAGACCCACTCATACCCAAACTCGCCTGCATTGAGATCATGCTCAGACGCCAGAAAAGAAACGGAACTCACCAGAAACAAGATGCACATAACAATGGGAATCCCTGCAGCCCTTCGGCTTTTTAAGGTTATTCGCTTTCAGCGCTCCTTGGTCAAAGGTCGGTCCACTTGCGACCTCCCAAGCCCAGAACGGCCAGCTGAGAGCTCCAAGATGGTCCCTACACGGCCCAGGACATCCCCAAGAGAGCCCAAAGCTCGACCAAGAGGGCCACAGAGGAATCCAAGACGGCCTAAGAAGTCCCCACGACGACCCCAACAAGCGGCCAAGCTTTCCCTACACGGCTCAAAAAGGCCCCGAGACGGCCCAAAACTGCCACAACATGGCCCCAGGGACCCTCAATATTCCCCACAAGAACCCAAGACACTTCCCTTAAAACACAGAAGTGGATACGAGAGATCTCACATGTGACGGCCTTCTGGGCAGTGCACGAAAGGTCGCCACGCAGACTGTTTCGCTGGCACGGTGGCGGGGTTGCCGCTTGCACTTGGATACCATTGCGCCTGCCAAACGTACGCCTCATCAACAGCATCCGATTGAGGTTCGCAAGCGCGTGCCACTTGATGTCAGGACGGCAATATACTATGACAACAAGATCTGGCAATGGAATTAGCGACGAATCCATATCATGCCGTGGCTTAGCGCCTCACTGGAATTTCCTCTGCGAACCATGAAACGCGCCATGCCCTTTTTGCTTCATGCTCCTGCGATCTGCAAACATTGAAGAACATGATCAACTGCACAATGGTTCTAAACCTCATTCTGATCTCACCCCAACCAGCCGATAACTCCACCCCGATTTTGTGTTGCAACTTACTCCATCTATCGACCATGTGCCAACCGTCTATCGATGGCTGCGCGCGTTACAATCGTTGTAAGCAATCAAAATCAAAACACGGAACGGCTGGGGGCCAGGCGTCGTAAACTATGGGGAATCGCAAGACGGCGTCGAGGAATCCCCAGACGTTGCCGACTAAAATGACTGGAACCATCCACCCGTACATGCGACCAATCCTTCACTCCCGATTCGCTGCTGCTAGGCACATGCTTGCACTGTAGATTCGCTGGGTTGAACGAAACACCACATGGACAACATATACCCAGTCGGCCCTGTTGACGCGGAGCCCAGAAACCTGGAGGCCACGGCTGAAAATAGTGGGCAACTTTGCAACACTTTTGCTTACGTAGCTTTCGGTATTCTTCTTGCGCGCTTCTCAGAATAACGCGCGACAGCCGTAGAACACAAAGTGCAATTACCATGCTCTCCACTTGTCTTTCGCAACAAGATGCTGTTCCCAAGTCAACAAGAACGACAACATGCTTCGCTGAAACAAGTGCGGGTCGACCCCCCCCCGTGAGACTTCACTGGTATCAACCGAGCGGCCAACTCCCTTTGCCCAAGATCTGGGTCCTAGATTCCGCGTGTTGTGAGGATTTGGCGGACATGTGCTGGATTTCGGTGGGCGGCTAGGTTTCCTGGTTCCCAATTGCGGGTGTTGGTGATCGCCTCTCGCGGGTTCCAATGGTTGGCTGGGTTCACTACGTCGCAACAAGATGTCCCCGCGCCAGTGCGCAAGGCCAAGCACGCCAATGAACTCATAGGCGCATGTTGCTCATGTCCGCAGTTGTTAATTGTGCGCGCGTGGACACTGTGTATATACATATATAGATGTATCCATGTGCATATATATGTATATGTATATGCATGTATACTGATGTACGGACGTAGTTGTACCGATAGGTTTGCAGATGCTTATAGGTAGGCGTACGCAACAATATCACCTGACCGCACGTATGACATTGGGGAAAGGGGCGACCCCAGACATGTATAAGTCTACACACATAGGTATATCAATATATACGTCGGTGTATCTATACATATCCATGAACGTATACGCATACTAGAGCCACGCGCGCTACGCGCGCGCTTAGATTTCAGTCAACCCAGGAGACCCCATCCGATTCTCATCCTCACCGTTCTCATCCTCATCCATTTCCGTGGCAGGCATGCAGTCCTGGCGGCGACGATTGCGGAACTGGGGTCGTCGGCGTCGACAGCGCCGTCGGCGTCGGCGTGGTCGCGGGAGAGGGAAGGAGGGAGAGAAGAAGAGGGGAGAGGAGGAGGGAGATAGGGAAGAAGGGATGCCGGGAGGCAGGGAAGGCAACAAGGGACAGAACTGGAAAGGGAACGAGGTGTGGATCGGCGGATGAGTAGGATTCCTCTTCCTTCTTTTTCCTCCGCCTCTTCACTTGCTCCTCCTCCTCCTCCTCCTCCTCATCATTCCGTCCGCATTCCTGCTCCTCCTCCTCCTCCTCCTCTTCCACCTCCAAATCCTTTCTGTCATCCTCATTTTCATTATCATCCCCTGCCTCCGCCCTCTGTTACCCTCTCGGCCGGATCGTCCGTCTCCTCTTCATCATCGGCCCCTGTAGAGCCCTGGGGCCGTCTTGGGGCGTCTTTTGCCAGCTTGGCCGCCTCTTGGGCACCCACTTTGCGCTTCTTCCTCAAGAGCAGCTTCGTCTAGTCGCTGCTCTCGTCCCCGACGAGCGGCAGGCAAGAAAAGAGACAGAGTGAATACAGATAACCAGAACGGCCACGAGCTCCACGCCGACATGTCGCCGACACGGAGCTGCTGACGCTTTCCAGAGACGCGCTGTGCGCCCGCGGCCCCCAGAAGGAATGCAAGAGGGCGAGGGGAGGCCAGGCAGGCCTAATTAAAAAACAGAGAGCGCCCGATGTAGCCGAAGGGGGTACCGTTCGTCCTGCTGGTAGCCTACTCCTGGCGGTCCGCGCTGGACCCGGCCGGGCAAGGGGCGAGCAATGCTCAGTCGGCGGTACCGTTGGTGCTGTTATCGCCCTCCGAGCCGGCACCTTCGGTCGTGCCTGCCGTGCCCGGCACGACGCAGATGCCGTCCGAAATGCAGACGGTGCCAGGAGCACAAGCGACGTCGCCACAGATCTCCGAACCAGGAGCGAAGCAGAGGCCCGAGTTTGGGTTGCACACGCTGCCTGCCCCGCAGGCGAGGACGCCCCCGGTGACGGGGGACAGGCAGCAGGTGCTGCCCGGGGCGGCGCCGATGCCGTTGCCGTGGGCGTCCAGGCAGCACGTCCAGCTCTCCGCGATGAAGATGGCGCCGCACCGCTGCTGGTTGTCCGTCGTGCCCGGTGTGACGCACAGGCCAGGCGCGACGCACTCGGTGCCGGGAGCACAAGCGACGTCGCCACAGATCTCCGAGCCAGGAGCGAAGCAGAGGCCTGAGGTCGGGTTGCAGACGTTGCCCGGAGCGCAGGCGAGGACGCCCCCGGTGTTTGCAGACAGGCAACAGGTGCTGCCCGGGGCGGCGCCGATGCCGTTGCCGTGGACGTCCAGGCAGCACGTCCAACTCTCCTGGGGGGGGGGCATACAAGATACCGATACCACTGCTCCCCGGGCCTCTCCTTGGGGTGCGTCCTGACCATGCTTTCGATGCGAACCCCGCCGTGTCGACGAGGGCTCTCCAGGACGAGCAGCGGCATCGGTACCTCTTCCTCGGCAGATCTCCGCGATGAAGATGGCGCCGCACTGCTTCGGCGCCTTGCCCGCGACCGCATCGTCGGTGTTGTTGGCGGGCTGCACCTGGCCGTCCGCGCCAGCGCCAGCCGAGCGGTGGGCGAGCAGCGCGGCCTCGGCGGCACGGGCATCGGTGCTGCTGGTGGGCTGCAGGCGGCGGCCCGCGACCGCCTCGGCCTGCAGGAGGGCCGACTCGTCCTCCTGCTCCTGGAGGCCTCCCAGGTGGGATCCGAGCAGGTGGGGTCCGAGGATCGCGCCGCATCGGCGATGCATCGCCGACGCATCGACGATGCATCGACGATGCACCGGCGACGTCGGCGGTGCATCGGCGCCGCATTGCCGATGCATCGCTGATGCGGTGCGATCCTCCAACCCCGTCTGCCCTGACCTCACCTGGAAGGCCTGGACGCCGACGTCTGGTTCTCGGGCCGTAGCTCGGCTCCCCCGGCGGCTGTTCGGGACGATCCGGGCACCCCTGGAACGCCCGCGGCGAGGCGCAGCTGCTGAAACGCACCCCCGGGCTGCACCGCCTTTAGGAACAGACGAAGACGCCCGAAAACCCCGAGCCTGAACCTCGGACCTCGACAACTTAGGCTGACCCCCTCTGGTGGGCCCAGATCCTCGGCCTTGCAGTCGGCGTCGGCGGCGGCCGGGCACGACTGGCACAACAGCGCCAGGACGAGGAGCGCGAACGACGCGGCCCTGGAGGAGGTCGCCATCATTGCTGCTTTGGTCGCTGGGTGTCGGCCAGAAGGGCGCGCGGCCTACTTGCCTCGGGATCTCGGCTCGACTCGCGAGGACCTCTTGGGGCAAAATGGCTTGAGTCAAACTGGCAACAGATCTCTTGGGCGCCCTGTCGGGGCGTTTTGGTGCAATCTGAAAGAGCGTCCTGGGCAGTGTTGGAGTGTCGGCAAGCGGAGCGAACAACAACAGGGAAATGCTTGGTGACCTCCTGCTCCGATGACTGGCGGCGACAACCACTCGGGGATCTTCTGACCTGGGTCAATCCAGACCCGGATCAGTCAGGCCTTGCAGAATCCTGAAAGATCCTGCACCCAAGCCCGGGTCAACGCGAAGGATCCTGCAAGATCCTGCAGGATCCTGCACCCGAGCCCGGGTCAATGCGGCCCTGGCCCTGCAGGATCTTGCGAGATCGGGCGCTCTGGCTGAGCTCCGCTTGCACTGACCCTCATATCTTGAGCCCCGAAGACTCCCGACTTCTCCTCACCCGATGTGCAGCACTGCGTGCTGGGGGGGGGGGCAGCGACGCCCCGAAGCCACCCTGGCTTGCTGGCGACCTCTCCCCACCCTCCGCTTGGAGGGGGCGAAGGCGTAGGCCTCCCAGACGGGGTTCCTGGGAAGGGCTTCTGGGCACACGCTGGTTGCGGCCGTGCTGGGTGGGGCCCTCGCAGGGGGTCTCCGTGGGGCACTTTCGGGGTGTCGAGGCTCCTTTTGGGGGGGGGGCACTCTTGGGGCCCCTCGGCCGCCCGTGGGGCCCTCTTCTGGGGCGTCGAACCTCGTTTGAGGTGCGGGTCATGTTGCTCCCATCGTGCTGCAGAACCACATCCCAGAAATAATTGCGAGCACCGAGAAAAGTATCGAAACAATGTCGAACGAGTATCGTCCCCCAGGGCCCGACACGCGAAATCCGTCCAATTTCGGTACTTTCCTGGTGCTCGAAAGTCTTTCTGGTGATCAAGGCTAAACGTAGGTTGGAATCTTCTAGGGTGAGAGGCCGTCTTGGGGCCTCTGGGCCAGATTGGCCGCCTCTTGGGCAGTCTTCGGCAGGACTGGAGCGGCGGCAAGCGGAACGAGCAGCAACGAACAAATGCTCGAGAACCTCCTCCTCCTCCTCCTCCTCCTCCTCCTCCTCCTCCTCCTCCTCCTCTGGGGACTGGCGGCGACAATCACGTTCACCGAACGCATTCCAGAAACATGATGACTGCGGCCGTGGAACTAAATTCCCTTTCCCAAACTGGCGGCGACAATCCCGTTCACGGGGGGCTTTCCGGCAACATGACGGTTGCGGCCGTGGAACTTCCTTTTCCCGGACTGGCGGCGACAATCACGTGCCTGGGGGGCCTTGTGGCGACGTGACGGTGATGGTGTCTGAGTGTCAGCAGCGAAACGAGCAACACGGTTTGGGCCGTGTTGGGGCCTTCTTGGGAGCCCTTTGGCCCTTTTTGAGCGATCTGGGAAGGCAGGGCGGATGGAGGGCGCAGCGGCTGAGTAGGGGGTACGCTTCCATGTCGTCCTCGGTCTCCTCATTCCGTCCGCCTTCCTCCTCCTCCTTCTACTTCTCCGTCTCCGACTCCTCCTCCAGACACAGCAGAAGGGCAATCCAGCGTCACACACGTCAAACACACAGGTTTCGAGCCACAGGAGGGGGCAGTCCATAGGCGCATACAAAGACACATTGGGTTCGAGCCGCAGGAGGAGGGGCAACCGATAGGCACCGACGCAAAACTCACTCACGCACACAAGGCTCGAGCCCCAGAAGAAGGGTACTCTATAGGCACGCACGTGAAAACCGAAATCTCGAGCCACAGGCGAAGACCAATCTATAGGCACACATACGTCAGCAAACAACAACAAAACACTGAGCCACAAGAGAAGGGGGGAATGAGGACTCGGGAGGCGCGGAAGGCGCCTGGAGGCCAAAGAGAGAGAATAACATCGACACCGGATACGCAACGTAGATTTCCGACGTTCCGTCGCGGGGGCCCGGGGGAAGGCTCGGGGGGCCCGGGGGAGGGCCGCCCAGAGGCCAAAAAATCGACGAACCGACAGCCGATGCAAAATAAACTTCTGGTCCCAGGGCCCGGGGGAGTTTCCGGGGAGACACATAGGATTCGAGCCATAGGAGAAGGGCAGCCTATAGGAACATATATCAAACACATCGAGCCACAGGAGAGGGGCTATCCGTAGGCACATGCGTAACACATATAGCTTTCGAGCCCCAGCAAAAGGGGCAATACGTAGGAACATACCTAAACACACAAAGGATTCGAGCCACAGAAGAAGGGCAATCGACAGGAACATACGTCAACACAAACTGTGCTCGAACCCCTAGGAAAGGAGCGTTGAACTCGAACCACAATTCTATAGTGAGTCTCATGTCTGGAACAGCTGTCGAGCCAGAAAACTACAGGGTGGGCTGCCGGCCCGTGAACTCGAGCCAGACCACCACAGCGAGCGCTGCTGGACCGCGCTGCTGGGCCGCCGCCGGGTTTGGGAAACGCTTCCCCCCGGCCCCTCCTGTGGAGACTCTGGTGAAAGGACTTGTTGAGAACCCTCCAGCGAAACGCTACTCTGAGGGGCAACGATAGGTGGGGACTGGCATAGGGATGGACGCATCGGCATGGAATCGGCGATATATCGCCGACAGATCGGCGATAGGCCCCCGATAGTGAATCCGCGCGCTCCTGGGCAAGTTGTGGCTATCGGGCACCTATCGGCGATCAATGGGCGATTGGGGGTCGATGCGTCCCCCCCTATGCCTATCCCCCCTATCGCTGCCCATGATGTTCGGGGAAAACACGTGGTTTCATCTTGCGGCCGCCATGTTAGATCCCCCCTGGGTGGCCTAGACGCGTGAAAGCTCGCAGACTGGCGAGACGCCTCCTCCTGACCTCCCTGGTGCAGGAGGAGGAGGAGGAGGAGAAGCAGGAGGAGGAGGAGGAGGAGGAAGAGGAGGATGAGGAGGAGGGAACACGTACTGCGAGGGCTGAAATCGGGCCAGGACGCCATGCGGCGTCGCACTTCTGGGCGAAGTCGAGCCAGAACACCATAGGGAACGCTGCTGGCCACCGCCGCTGGACCGGTGAAGCGCCTCCCCCCAGCCCGCCTTTTGCGGAGACTCTGGTGCGAGGACATCTTGGAGCACTAGGAGGCCCTCGAGCGAGACGCTGTGAGGGAGCAAGTTCGCACTCACGCGCGACTTATTATTATTGTTGATATTATTCTTCTTATTATTAGTAGTATTATTATTATGATTATTATTACTACTACTGTTATTATTATACTATAGATATGAGCATGTGTTCCCCGACCAGTGCTTGCACTTCAGGGTTGTTGCTGCTCTTCTAAAAACAACTGGGCCTGACGGTCGGTCTGGCGGCTATGTGGCCGCCGTCGCCGACACGTCGCCCCCTCGTCCCCGCCAGTCGTCTGGGCCCGACGGTCGGTCTGGCGGCTATGTGGCCGCCGTCGTCGCCCTGTCGCCGCCTCGTCCCCGCCCGACGTCTGGGGCTGTTGACCGCCGTCGCCGCTGGGTGGCCGCCCCGTCGGCGCCCGGTTTGGCGGCTGCCGGCGCTTTGCATTGCACAACATACAGTCATCGGCCTGACCCGAGGAACGATAGATAAGGAACGAAACCCCTGTTTTCCAAGGAAAAAAGCATAAGGAACCATAACACATAAAAACGCAGAATGGACGAGACATAACGCATGCAAGCCTTAAGAAACGACCGAACCCCTTTTGAAAAGTAAGTGTTCCTTACTCAAGCCGCTCAGTGTAGGTTCTCCTCTCCAGAAGTAGAATAAGATCCCACCCCCCCGAGGCTGGACTTCACGGTGCCCTTTTCTCGTATTGCACTTGATATCTGCCTCAGCCCCATCGTTCATCCTAACTATGAACGCGCACCATCCCAGAGGGGGCCGGTACCCCCCCCCCCCGCCAGCCTCTGCAAACAACGCTCTGCGCGCGCACTTGTTTGTCAAACATCATTACAACAAATGGGACGAAGTGCGCACGCGAACATCGTCGCGCGCGTGCCGAAATCTGTCAAAGAACCAAGGTTTGGTAAGGATTTCAAAACCGAGTGTCCTAACAACAAATAAGCACATGGCTTCGCAACGCTGATGTTCCAAAAAGGCTTGCGCGCGCTGTTGCGAGTTATTAAGAAAACCATCGGTGCTCAAATATCTTATAACATGCTACTAAACGGCCTTCGCGCGCGCATGTCGAAATCGCAAGAACGCCCTTGCGAGCGCGCAGTAGCAAAAATCCGGTTCAAAAGACTGGGACGAAGTGCGCGCGCGCGTCGTCGCGCGCGCATGCCGACATCAGTCAAAAACTCTAGGTTTCGTAAGGATTTTAGAATCGAGTGTCCCGAGAACATATAAAACACACATGGTTTCGCAACATCTATTTTCAAAAATGCCTGCGCTCGCGCTCTTGCGAAATTGTCATTGGATTCTGCCAAGCGGGCCTCTCGCGCCGCATGCCAAAATCATTCGAACGCCCTTGCGCGCATGCCGGGGGGGGGGGGCACGATCTGTCAAATAATACCATGCGGCCCCTCTCGCGCGTCGGCCGCGCGCGCATGCCGATCTCCTTCCAGAACGTTCATCACCGACGCGAGGACGCGGTCATCGTCGTCGGCGTGATCAGCATCGGCGCTGTCACTGGCCGTGCCGTCATCGCTGTCAGCATTGTCGCCAGCATCGCTGGTATCATCATCGTGTCAACCGTTGTCGACGTTGCCATGATACCGCGCCCGCCCAAGTCACCGACTCGCACTGGAGTGCCCGCTGGGATGTGCCTAGTCGTCAGCGCAACCCCGGCCGCGTCAGTCGCGCCGAACTAGCTGGCCGCTGCGCGCGCGTGTATGCGCGGGCTGGCGCGGCCGCAAACATGCGCCAGCCGACGCCAAGCACTCATCGCAATCGCCGCCGCATGGGCTTTGCAAACCAAATTGCGGGTGGGTGGGTGGGATTTTTTATGCGAGCAGTGGAGTGGACAATTCACTGCGAACAAAAAATCATTGCACTATAGGTTGCGGCACATACATTTAACAATGTATATAGCATCGCAAATACTGCACCGCAACGTTGATTGCGCAACATAAACCGCCACATTTAATGCTTCACGCGTGCTGCTTCTTTCAAATCGAATGAACAACGTAACATGTACCACATGTATTGCACGAAATACTTTGCACCACATTGATTGTACAACATAAATCATACGACCTATATTGTTCACGGCAAATGGCGAAACCTACGTTTACGTAGAACGCATCCCAACCACATACCCAACACATACATCAAGCGCATTGCATAGCTTGCACACCATGAGCTGCCTCATACACATGTATAGTTATACACATATCTATATAGATCTAAGTACCACGTGGACTGTACCACTTCCGTGGAGACACATGCATTGGTCAGTCTACACTGTACCGCACACGCTGCACCACTTACATTGCACCACCTACATTGTTTGACATGGATGTTACACGATCTATTTCCCAGAGAGTAGTACATTACCCCTCGGAATTAACGGGACACCTTTTCACATTGCATGTTCGATAATGATTATGCCCCATTTTCCATCCTGAAGCGAACTCGTACCATCCCAACCAAACCGGTATCCCCCGTCATCCTCAGCAAGACATGCTACGCGCGCGCCCCAGCCTATCACAATTTACACATTTCCGAACATCAATTTCAAAAGCCTGGACGAAGTGCGCACGTCGCGTCGTGGCGCGCGCACGGCGAACTCCTGTAAACAACCGTAGGTTTCGTCAAGATGTCAAAACCGAGAGTCCCGAAAACATGCAAAAACAAATGGATTCGCAGCACGGATTCAAAACAACAGTTGCGCCCGGACTCTTGCGAACTCTCAAGAAAGCCACAACTTTTCAACATGCTCGTAGTCTGATGCTGAACGGGCCTCTCGCGCTCGCATGCCGGAATCGCAAAAACGCCCTTGCGCGCGTGCTGTCGCAAGCACCCCTTGCAAAAAAGGGCGCACGCGCGCGTCCGCGCATGGTTGCTCACCATGTTCATCACATGCTACCAAACGTGCATCTTGCGCGCGCATCTCGACATCGCTCGGACGATCTCGCGCGCGTGCTGTCGCAGCAATCCCTTGCACAATAGCAGCAAGGCGGAATGCACGCGCGCACGTCGTCGTGCGCGCATGCGGAAGTCCTCCAGAAACCTTCGGCTTCGTGCGGGTCTCAAAACCGAGTGCACCGAACACGTGTTAAACCACACACGGTTCTGCAGGCGCCCCCCAGGGCTGCGCCGCGGGAGCGCAAGGGATCTCCAGCGTGCCCCGTCCATCCACGGGGCTGCCGAGGTCCCGTGCCCTTCGGCAGAGCACCACTTCTCGCCCCGAGCGCCTCCACGAGCGGTCTCCTCAGCCACCGGTGGCTGATCCCATAGACGCTGGTGCCGAAACGACTCGTGGGTGCTCAACGGTGCGAAACTCCCATCTTCATCGAGACTAGGACTGGTGTGCTCCCGACCCCTCCAGACATGGTGCAACTCCACGCCGCTGAGCGCCGCAACGATGAGGAACAGAGCGCGCCTCGTAGTCTCTGGATAGGGTCGGTGCTCCTGCGGCAGGCTGGCGAAATTCGAAATATCATGTCCGCCGACTTGGCAGAATGAGAGCCCAGAGAGCGCAGTCCTGAGATACGGTCCTCTGGGTTCGAGTATGTGGGTTGAGAAATGATTGAAATTCAAGCCTTGCGGCATTGCTGTTGTTGGCCATGGAGTAGTTTCCCCAGCGTTTCAATACTGTCCTCACCAGGGGGAAGACGGACAGGGTGAAGAGAGCAACGAGGTCAACCTTGCAATCTGTCCGCGGTGGCCCTAACCCCTCTCCTTGGACCTCCTCCGGGCGTTCCAGTCGTACGACTGCCACACACATCTTGCAACTTATGCCTGCAACTAACAACCCCCAAAACAGCGCATCGATTCTGATTCAGCGGCTCTCGGAATCTCAGTGTCCAATTCCTATCACTGACGTGGCGAAAACATGGCCTCGAACAGCCTGGGCCTTCAAGACAAACAAGCAAAATTCATCGCAACCTGTACTCAATTGCGCAACCTAGACTCACTCATGCCCAGACTCACTGACACCCCGTCACTCATACCCAAATTCGCTCGCAAACATACCCACTCATACTAAGACACGCTCAGAACCACTCGTCACTCAGACTGACCCATGCCCAAGCTCATTCATGTTCATATTCAAGCATACTCAGAATCACCCGTACCCAACACAAACACCCACTTATACTAAAATGCACTCACGGTGGCGCAGGCCCGCTCGTATTCGCACCCGCTCACGAATCGCCATTCGTACTCCTACTATCGCTCATCACCTTAACTTGTACACGCTCAAGCAATCACTCATCGCGCCCTTTTCATGACTGGTATATCGTCCAACACCCGCCCAATCCGGGACCTCCCATCCTACCTCGACGTTTTCGCTTTCAACATGGGCATTCTGTCGTCCATGATGCAAAATGCGGGGCAAGAGTGGGCCAGGGCGCACCATCCGAGCGAAAGGCCGAAAGGTCGCTCCTGTCTCAGTGCCGCGTTCTTGTGTCTAAGGTTTGAGCTCCAGCTTTGGCGCGGCGCAGGTATTGTTTATACGCAGCCTCGTTGACGCGCGAGAAAACGAAGATGTCGCTCTCGCCTCGGCGCTCCCGCCTGGGCGCAGCGTCTTCCCCGTGCATTTTTCGGATTTGCGCATCTTTGTTCCCGCAGGATGATCTGGGCCCCGACGAACAAAAATACACACGTCGGAGCGATGCCGAGATACCTTTCACTCGCCCATTTTCGGAAGCTTCCGCGAGCGGGTGACTTGTCGCCCGCGTCCATGCTCCGTGCGCGTCTCGCTCGGCAGTTGCGCTCTCGCGTGGGCGCGGCGCATGGCTCGCTCGCCGAATCGCATGAATCGGCGATTCGCGAAGGGGGGGACCTGAGAAGGAGAAAGCCTTCTCAGAAGGCGGCGGGGCTTCTCAGAAGGCCTCTGGCCTTATGAGAGGTTTCCTCTGTCTTCAGGGAGTGCTCAGCAAACTTCAAGGCCCGCCCCTTCTCACTTCCCCCCCTCGCTCGCCGCCGAATGAAACAGACAATGGCAGCGGGGCCGCGCGAGAACGTGCGAAATGCAGACGTCGCCCAAGCGCCGCGCAGCTCTTGAGTGAAAGTGGCAGTGCCGTGTCAGCGCGACGCATGCGTCGTCCTCGCCACGCCCGTCCGAATCTTTGCCGCTCTGGCCTCTGCACGGCCCGCGTGGCTTTGCTTTTCGCGAGGTCGTCGGAAGTCGGCCACGCGCAGAGTGGGGGTACGGGGAGGGGGGGCAGCATCTTACAAGCACATCTGCTTCTTGAAAGGCGCGGGCCTTGTCTATAGATGTGAGGCCGGCGCCTTCTAAGAAGCGGCCTCCTCGTAAGCAGCGTCTCCCCCCCTACCCATTTGTGCGCGCCGCCATGGAAGCGAGGCCGCGCGAGCGCTTTGCGTTTGCGGGGCAGGACCGCGCTCCCATCCCATAAAATCAAATTGCGCGGGTGCTCCACCGGCCCCTTTCGTGCTCAGACAGGCGGGCGCCCCCGGGTAGACTGCGACTTCTGTTGCGAAGCCGGCTTGAGCAGGGACCGACCGTCCCGGCATTCCTATAGGCCTACCACGACATGTTCTTAGAACCAAGATATCCTAAGAACAAAAACAATGCTCTTAGGGCGTGAGCCCGATGTGTTAAAACAAGACAGCCCCGGCCAGACATGTTCTCAGAACGTCTCGCCGAACCACACAAAAGGTTCTCAGAACATTCTTTGGCAGGCCCATGGGCGAGCCAGGACGCTTCGCCACTGCTTGAAGGTTGGCGCCCTCGCGTAGACTGCAACTTTTGTTGTGAAGCAGGCGCGTCTCTCCGAGGAGGAGGGGGGAGGAGGAGGAGGAGGAGGAGGAGGAGGAGGAGGAGGAGGAGGAGGAGGAGGAGGAGGGGGAGGAGGGGGAGGGAATAGGAGTAGGAGTAGGAGTAGGAGTCAAGCTAGCCAGCTCGAGCGAGTCAAGTATGGCATGCCCAGTCCCACCCGCCCTCCCACAACATAAGAAGCAAAGCTGGCACAACTGGGGGCCGAAGTCACACCGGCCAGCCGGTTTGGTACAGCTGATGCGGCCGCGATGGCGGTTGCCGACGGGAACTGGCGAGCGCGTGTTGAATGCCGCGCACGCATTGCCAGACGAGTCGAGAATGGCCCGGTACACCGCAGGAAGCCAGAGGTGGCCGGAGGAAGCCCGACGGTCTGACAGGACACCCCAAAGCATTTTTGTGAAAAAGCATTGGGTTTTTGATGTTTTTATGTTGAAATGCTTGCAACAACACGGTATTCGGTAGGATTCTGACATGAACGCGCGAGTGTGCTCTGTGTAATATTTTTTGCATAGGATTCGCGGCCTGGGTGCATGACAGAGCATCGCGAGTGCACCGCGCGATGACGTGAAATCGCTGGATTTGACCGAATTTTAAGATTCCGACGGTTTTCCTATGATTTCAGCAAGAGAGCCCGGGCGGGAAATTTGTACAATTTTTTGTGAAAAAAAAACATTGGGTTTTTGATGTTGTTATGTTGAAATGCTTGCAAACACACGTGTTCGGTAGGATTCTGACATGAACGCGCGCGTGTGCTCTTTGTGGTATTTTTTGCAATGGATTATCGCCGTGGACGACAGGACGTCCATGTCGAGAGGAAAAAATAAGAAAATGTTGATTTTGTATTGTTTTTTACAGGTTAGGATGGGACCACCCGGATGCGGCCCCTATCTGCCGGCCTGAGGGGGGAGTAGGAGTATATTCTAATAAGGAATAAATAGGAGTAGGAGTAGGAGTAGGAGTCAAGCTAGCCAGCTCGAGCGAGTCAAGCATGGCATGCCCAGTCCCACCCGCCCTCCCACAACATAAGAAGCAAAGCTGGCACAACTGGGGGCCGAAGTCACACCGGCCAGCCGGTTTGGTACAGCTGATGCGGCCGCGATGGCGGTTGCCGACGGGAACTGGCGAGCGCGTGTTGAATGCCGCGCACGCATTGCCAGACGAATCGAGAATGGCCCGGTACACCGCAGGAAGCCAGAGGTGGCCGTGTCGAGAACGGCCTGGTAAGCCGGGTCCCATTCCTGCCATGCATTTTGCGACGTGGACGACAGGACGTCCATGCGACGGTGCCAATGACGGCGACGACTCTAGAAGGATTTGAGCATGCGCTCGCGGCGACGCGCGCGCATGTCGCCCGCGTTGTATTTTTTGCATAGGATTCGCGGCCTGGGTGCATGACAGAGCATCGCGAGTGCACCGCGCGATGACGCGAAATCGCTGGATTCGACCGAATTCTTAAGATTCCTATGGTTTTCCTATGATTTCAGCAAGAGAGCCCGGGCAGGAAATGTGTAGAATTTTTGTGAAAAAAACATTTGGTTTTTGATGTTTTTTATGTTGAAATGCTTGCAAACACACGGTGTTCGGTAGGATTCTGACATGAACGCGCGCGTGTGCTCTTCGTGGTATTTTTTGCAATGGATTATCGCCGTGGACGACAGGACGTCCATGTCGAGAGGAAAAAATAAGAAAAATGTTGATTTTGTATTGTTTTTTACAGGTTAGGATGGGACCACCCGGATGGGGCCCCTATCTGCCGGCCTGAGGGGGGAGTAGGAGTATATTCTAATAAGGAATAAGGATAGGAGTAGGAGGAGGAGGAGGAGGAGGAGGAGGAGGAGGAGAAGGAGGAGGAGGAGGAGGAGGAGGAGAGAGAGGAGGGAGAGGAGGGAGGAGGAGGAGCAGGGGGAGGAGGAGGAGGAGGAGGAGGAGGAGGAAGAACAGCAGGGAGGAAGGAGGAGGAGGAGGAGGAGAGGAGGAGGAGGAGGAGGAGGAGGAGGAGGAGGAGGAGGAGGGAGGAGGAGGAGGAGGAGGAGGAGGAGGGGCAAACGACACGCTGGGGAGCGCGCGCGTCTGTTGCTTGGCGCCGCAGCGGCCCCGCGCCGCCCAAGAGGCATCGGGGGGGCCTCAGGGCGCGGCGGGCGGCGGCAACGACCTCCTTGTGGTAGCTGTACTCGTTGTGGTTGGTGGGCATGCCGAGCTCCGAGCGTGCCCGCAGGATGCTGTAGCTGCGGTAGGCCACGGCCAGCCGAGTGATGGCGCGCCTCGGGCGATCGTCGATGATGCCGTTCTGGTGGAGGCTCAGGCGTGTGAGGGCATCACCAGCAGGTTGCCCACGTGGTTGCGAGCCATGAGCGCCCACATCCGAGGGCACGAGATGTAGTGGCTGATGTCGTCGGTGTTCTTGGCTTGCAAGTCCTTTTCGCATCCGAACATGCAATTCTTCTTGTGGGGGTTGACGCGCGCACGGTGTGAGGTCGCCCATGCGCCAGACAAGGTCTTGACCGCAGGCCAGAAGAGCGAGGCCGTGGAGTTCGCCAGGTGGGATCGTAGATCACGCCAGACGTGCTCAACACTGGCGGGGAGAGCAGCGCGACCAAGAAATCCTTCACGGGCGGATGTATCGGTATCCATCATGATGTCACTGGTGGAGTGGATGGGAAGCGTGGAT